GCCACCATGTGTTGGGGCCCCACCGCGTGGTAGAACCTCTGGGGCTGCACGTTCGGGGACCCATCAGATGGCCCATACTGTTAGGGCCTCCAGATGGAAATTAATTTCCAGGCCGCCTAGTCAGTGCTGCGGTGCTTTAACAGGCCCCCTGTGATGACATCAGACGCTGGGAGGAAGTGACTGCCCGAGTCACTCCTCCCAGCAATTACCGAGCCTGCGTGGGAGGAGGAAGGAGAGGAGGGAGTCAGAGTGGGAACTCTGACTCCCATCAGGCTGAGCCACCACTGGACCCCAGCGAAAATCACCCTCCTGCACCTAAAAGGCAGAACACAGGAGGGTGACTTAAACATTTTGTATTTGTCTGTATATGTGTGTGTTTGTATATGTGAGTGTGTTAGTGTATGTGTGTCTGTATGTATATCTCTGTATGTGTGTGTGTGTCTGTGTCTCTGTCTGTATGTATGTGTGTCTGTATGTATGTGTCTCTGTGTGTATGTGTGCCTGTATGTATATGTGTGTGTGTGTGTATGTCAGTCTGTGAGTATGTGTGTGTGTATGCATGTGTCTGTGTGTTTGTATGTGTCTACATTTCTGTATGTATGTATGTGTGTGTGTCTACATGGCTGTGTGTATGTATGTGAGTGTGTATGTATGTATGGGTCTCTGTGTGTATGTGTGTCTGTCTGTATGTATGTGTGTGTTTGTGTATATGTGTGTCTGTATGTATGTGTGTGTTTGTATGTATGTGTGTGTCTACATGTATTCGTGCCTGTATGTGTGTGTATGCATGTGTATCTGTTTGTCTGCAAGTGTGGGGGCAGGGACGTGTGGAGGGGCAGGGACATATAGGGGGGCGGGCCAGGGCAATTTTCACACCGGGGCCCTTGGTTTCTAGTTACGCCTCTGGTTACACCGTTCTCAAACAGTTTATTCCCAAAGACATTGTTACATCGCTGGACAGATCTATCCCTCTGTCCTTGCTAAAATGCTGTAAAAAGGAAGCAAAGGGCTACTGTGGGCAGTGCTGAGAGAGATCAGTTGATGTTATCAGCCAGTCAGTGTCTCTCCAGTTTATATCTTTTTTAAGCCATTTGTATGAATATGGAGCCATTGAGAACGTCCTCTGATTGATCTCAGTCAATCAGCGGTGCCCTGGCTGTTTGTCTGTGCAGCCCTATGCTTCCATTTTCCAGCAAATGGAGTGACATGGGGCAGAGAGATCTGGCACTGTAACACAGACTTTGGGGTTAAACCATTGCTATATAAACATGTCTCATTATACTCAATGTTTAACTTTATTCTTGTGTTTATTAGCTGTCAAACTCTCCATTGAATGCAAGTTTTTTTTCCACATTTAACCAAACTGTCAGCAACTAAATATGTTTAGACAATTTTAATGTCATCATTGGCATTTTCAGTTTTCCAATGTTCATGAGTAAGAAAGTCATTAGGAGCTCAAAAATGCAGAGACAATAAATAAATAAAGGACAATTCACAGCTTCAACTCCAACATGTACAACCCAAGTTATTTCACAAATAAATTGGTAGCTCTCACAGACTTCTCCATCAAAAATCTTTAAAGTCTAAAGTAAACGACACAAAGCAGGACATGGTTAGGATATCTTAAGGGTACTTCTTGACAAGTAGTGTCCTTCAGTGAAAGTCAAGGTTAATGATAGATTCTTGTAAAAGTGTAAAGTTACAAAAAATATATTCCTCTACACAATTCTCAGTTAGAGAATTCTTAAACACAGTTATATGATGTAAAGGTCTCATGTTAGTTGCTGATTCAGCTGTTAAAACAACTTTTTGTAGAGAACACATTGCTATAAATTTTAGCATTAATATTTTTGATCCAGTTAGCATTAATATTTTTTGATCTTCATTGGCTACATAATTAATTTAATGCAGTTGGTACTATCCTTTTTTTTTTTTTTTTCATTTTTCTGTCTTCCTGGTTAAATATGGTGATAAAGCAATCGAAAGTCCATTTCACCATGAAGAAAAACAAGGATAACTGTTTTGACAACTTCATGAAATAACAGAAAAGATGAACAGCGGGAGCAGTCCATGGGCACAAAATCTGTCATTACACCTGATGCTTTTCTGCTGGTACAAAGCCAAGCAGAGCAAAGTTCAAAGGAATTACTTCCTTCAGCAATACACTGGGCTAGCACTGAACTTAACTAAGGCAATTGTTATCACTGGAGCAATGAACGTCTGAAAAGGTCAGTTGACATTTGTCACCTGTTGCGGATAATAATGTTAAGAGTGTCCAAGGATACATTTAATTGAAAGGCAGTGGTTTTCAAACAATAAAAACTTAATCCCCAAGAGGACTGCATTTTCAGGCAGCAAATTATTTTTGGATACAAAGGTCACCTAAGCAATTGAAGCGTATATAGTTGAAATACAATTCCATGGTGATAAATTTATTATAACTCACTTTGATCTGTCACAAACCCATTGTTGGAACCCTTTGTGTGTGAGAGGGGTGCACAAACCAATCAGCATTCGATGGGTTAAAAGTTAGTCAAAACCTATTTATCTGAACAGACTTATCAGTAGTTAATACAAAGGGTTTATTTAACAGGTAGTAACATATCAGTCTTCACTTTGACCCATTAATTACCATAAAGATTTAAAAAAAAAGTCTGCTTAGAGTACTCTGATGCTCATGTTTACATACTTAATACATCTCACGGCAATTTGCAGGGATCTGCATTAACCAATGCTCAGAAGACCAGGTTTTCCCTTGTCAATGAAGATTTCCTTCTGTCATTGAGAAATTGATTTGTATGACTCTCATTTAAATTGTGTCTTGTGTGCTGCAATGGAACCAAGCTCTATAACATCTACTTATTTTACACTGTGCTGTCCATTACATAATACTGTAGAGCAGGGGTGCCCAAAGGCTAGAACCCCAAATAACGTAAAACCACAACTCCCATGATGCTTTGCATGTCCTTAGAATGTTTTTAGAATGACAAAGCATCGTGGAAGCTGTAGTTTTAAAACATCTGTCAATCTACCTTTTTGGCACCCCTGTAGTAGACTGTAGTGATTTCTTATCTATATAAGTTCTGGAACCTGTTAATTGCTACCACAAAATCATTTTCAAATGTGTGCATACTTACATACTATAAAGCAATAGGGATCTAGAATTAGTTTTATAGTCAACAGGTTAAGGAAGGGGCTATAATTAGTAATGTGGTTTGCAGACAGCTTGTTATGGCGGCATAGATGCTCAGCATTCTTTAAAGGGTTATGGTCAGAGTTTATAAATGAATCTAAGAAACAGAGATTTACTATATTGTGTTTTCCCTTAACAATTGGTGCACATTATGTACCATAAAACGGGCTTTATCTACTTCAGCAGCTGCCATAACAGAATTTGGTACTTAGAACATTCCCTACTTCAACTAGACAGCTAACAGCAACATATTCTACTGACTTTCACATTAGTAGCTGGTTAGGCAAGAATATAACCATCAAGAGACTCCATAATAGTAGGAATCCTACTTAAAATGTGAATGTTAGTGATAAATATGGCCCTGTCCCACCTGCAACAGTAAGTCAATAGTGTGATCCAATTTTGTCACCACTGTTACTTTAAAGATCAGCCATCTATATATTTTTATGGTACATTTAGTATTTATTGAACTGTTAACATGAAAAGGACCACATGTATGTATAAGATAAGATTCTAGCTCAATCTTATCCCAGGTTTAAAAGATTTGCTGCTGAACATTTTTTATGATAATGTAATGTGTTCTATCAAAATATACATGAAATTGAAAATATATAGATATATATTTTTTTCTTTTTACATATAGAAATGACTAAATTAGAACCCTCGTTTCCATCTGTGGAAAATGTAAACAACATTATGATGAAAATGCAGTTATCCATGCTCCTGCTGTAAATCTAATCACATGATAAAAAGCTAACCTGAATCCTGGAGCTGTGCAGTTCAATTACTTGCTGATACAATCTGTTAATATTCCTAACATACTGGAGAGGCTATTTATGGAATGCAGGCACATTTTCTAATTGTATTACCAAGAACATTCTAATACGATTTCTAACAGTGTTACCGAAAAAATAATGCTAAAAAATGTAAAAAAAGAATTTCACTTTCCTGTCTTCTATGAGTTTTCTCTATGCATCTATATATGGTAAGATGGAATACATTGCATAAACTGTATCTGAAGCTTAAAGAAAATATCTCAAAGAGTTGGTAACGGACAGATCCCATCACAAAGAGGATCAAACATTGTGACTGGATATTACAGTCCGTCTGGCTTAATCTCATTCGATTTTAGATTATTTTTACTTTTTTCCCAAAAGTCAAGTTCCAAATGCATTACCACTCTAATCTTTTGTTTCTCTTACCTTCTGCTTTTCTGAAATCTACATGTACTAATATCAATGTAATTACATCTTCACCATTAAAAAAACAACTGCACTTTTCATGTTATCATTGCATTGTATATGCCTATTGCATGGGTACTATAATTGTATTATTTGTGTAGCATTGTTTTTGTCTGTGTTCTTCAAGACATTGATTAGAGGCAATGGATTAACTAGAATATCCTATATATCTTTGAGTGAGTATAAGTACATAAAGTACTTTGAGTGCATATAAGTAATACAGATCTCCGAAACCTTACATATGGAAATTTATATCTAAGGATTTTATAAAATAAATTCCAATCGGTTTTCAAGCATTATCTACATATAGCAAATGTAAAAACACAGAGGAAAATCTCAGAATGATTGCTGTTCATGTTCTTCATTCCTATGTTTTGTAACTCCTTTAAAAACTAGTAAAACGCTACATAAAACAAAAATACAGTGGTAAATTAACTTTGTACTTTTCATTGTATCAGTCAGTTTTAAGAAAGGATATTCAGAAATGATCACACGAACCACAACACAGTTTAGCTGTAAGAATTCACATTTTCACATTTAATAAAGTATTTTCTGTTTTGTTTGTAGTACAAAGAAAATATTTCATTTGTTGGGCAGTATTAGTACATACCATACATGCTTACGAATGTATAACAAATAATACATTTGTTTTAATGTCTTTGTGTTTCCTCTCCCATACATTTAAAAATCAACTTTTCCAGTGTCAAAACGACACTCTAAGGATTAACGTAACATGCTTTTAAAAATAGGTCACATGTTAGATTCCATTTAAATTCAATGCATTTTAACATTTTAATTAAAGTCAATACCAAAAAATATTATTGTCTTACCTTATATACAATCAGTCCAGTTAAAGGGACACTGTAACTGCTTCATCTCATTGCAGTACTCTGGTGCGGCCCATCAATTCAGCATTAAACAGTTTTTAATGTTCTAATGACAGCTACATCATTAAACTGCCACAAAAAAACGGTCAGGTAAGTGGTGGGGATATAAGACTGCTGTTGCCTTTCAGGGTTAGTGTGAGGGGGAGGTCATGACTTTACTTAAGGCTCTTAAAGGATCACTATAGTGTCAGGAAAACAAATTGGTTTTCCTGACACTACAGTGCCCTGAGGGTGCCCCCACCCTCAGGGTCCCCCTCCCGTGGCCCTGAAGGGGTTAAAACCCTTTCAGCCACTTACCTTAATCTAGCGTTGGTGCTGGTGACCTCTCCTCCCCGTCTGACGTCACTGGAGCCGAATGCGCATGCGCGGCAAGTGCCGCGCGCGCATTCAACGTGTCCATAGGAAAACATTTCTCAGTGCTTTCCTATGGACGCTCTGCGTGATGGAAGCGAAATTCGCCTCCAGCATCGCAGATGCGCCTCTAGTGGCTGTCCGGAAGACAGCCACTAGAGGCTGGATTAACCCCAAATGTAACCATAGCAGCTTCTCTGAAACTGTTATGTTTACATGTGAAGGGTTAAAACCTGAGGGACCTGGCACCCAGACCATTTCATTGAGCTGAAGTGATCTGGGTGACTATAGTGTCCCTTTAAGTACCAATAAACCTGTGGTATTCAGTATGCTGCATCCTTTTTTTGTGGCACTTTAATTAACATCACCTAGTTAATGGCAACATTTTGTTCAACATTTAAAGTCAAGATTTTTAACCTGAATACATGACAACCATAAAAGCATGGGCATTACAACACTAACTTAATCAGGGGCACATTTTAAAAAATGGATACTTTGTGGCTGCAAAAGTCAAATGTAAACAGTAATTTAAATTTTACACTGCTCTGAAGCATGTGTTTTTATATGTGTCCCTAATTATATCAGCAGCATGTCACCAAAGTCAACATAACTCTGAATTGTAGGTTGTGAAATAAGCAATATGTAAAACCATACTCTGAGTAACATGTAAGATGGTTAATGGAATGTTGGTAACAAGGCCGACCGATCTGATTCCTCAGGGTTTGATGCCAGAGAACATGGAAATCATGCTTTAATGTTCTGTGATGATGCAGCCACTAACTCTTCTTCAAAATAGAGAATCTGGTCCACTAGAAAACACTCACTTGACCTGGAAACAAATGTCTCTAAGTACTGCTTGACCTCCTTTTCACTTCTATTGGTTTGTCTTGCACTCCTAAGGTAGCTATACACTTTGTCAAAGGTTTTCCTCCCCAGAGATTCTATTGCTGACCTATAATTGATATAAAAAAAACATGAAATGAATGATGTATTATTAAGAAATACAATTACAAAGAATACATTCTTAACTCCTTAAATCCCCAAAAGGGAGTATTAATAGTTTTATTTTTATGTATATTGCAGTATGAAATCATCTATGTGATTACCAGCCTGTAGAGGAATTAATTTATCTGCAAGAAGCCACTAGTCATTGATAAAAGTAAATGTGTTGAAAATGTAGGCTCACCCCCTGCTTCCAAACAGTAAAAGAAAATTTAATGGGTCATATTATTCCAAGTGTTGGTGAGGTTGGAGGGATGAATCTACTCTACCATTTCAAGGTTGGCATTTTTAGCACTCCAGAGATTTATAAAGATTGCAATAGCACTCTTTATTCTAGAAATATATACTTTAACTGTATGTGGGCTTTATGCTCACGTGCATTATTTTTACATTCTGCAGCAATTTTAGTAAACTGTACTACCAATGATTCCTTTTTAGGGTCTTTGGAAATCAGGGTATTTGACCCATTTATATTTATCTATTTTTGTCCCATCTACTGTACATGATAAAAAAAAATTGCATTTTAGTTTTTAAACTAACTTTTCATGTGTGAAATATTGCAAGATAAAGGACATTGTGTGCTGTCTAAAGCTTTTCATTTCCAAAATACTTTCTATAAAGTGTGAACAAGTAGGTGAAAAGTAAAAAAAAAAAAAAATATGTAAAATGAAAAACTACATTTTTTATGTATGTCTGTAAAGCAATCTATACACAAAATTGCTGTTTTAAATGTTTATATGCTTGCTATATATCACTTTCAAATAAATATTATGCTAAAATGTAAATGTAAAATAAAATGGGATTGGTAGTGCAGAGGTTAAACACACACATATTTAGGGAAGAAAAAAGAACAGCATTGATGTGTATTTAAAAATAATATAAATTATTATTTTATCAATTAAATTAAAAATGCTTTAAAAAAAATCTAGACTCCCTGGCATGGGAGTGCTGTCAATTGGACAGAGTTGCAAGTATCTCCTCTGCAACTAGCATGCAGAGTTTGTAGGATGAACCCTAAAAGCAAGGTCTGCGTGTTAAAAGCAGATGGATATGCAAAGGGATGCCTGTTAGTGTACTAAAGACATGATGCAGCAGGCAGGAATTGTGTAGGGTCTTTACTAGCCTAGAACTGTGTGGGTCTGTGCTTGCATTGTTGAAATATAATCTCAACTGATCAACTGTTGGGACTGGCAGGTTTCTTGGGAGACAGTAGTGTGTTCAACAGCCTGGCAGCTAGACTGTAATAAGTATGTGTGGTTGCAGAGAGAGATGAAACACTGGTGTTAATGGAGTCATGTGAAGCAGAATCAATCACTTAGGGATGCAAAGTTTTCTGTAAGAACTCCCTCATGATGTCCATACTATTTTAGGGATATATAATGTCACATCAAGTGACTTTAGGGACACAATGTCACACCAAGTGCTTTCAGCACCTTCCATCTGTCAAACTAATATATAGTTTGTACAGTGTCACTAGTAACATCCATAGCATGGGTTTTGTGTACATGTACCTGCAACCAGGCCAAAATCTACCAGCTCCCTCCTTCCTTCTGGTCTCTTATTTACTCATGATTGAAGTTAATATGGTAAAAACTAGTACATGCATTACTTGTTGTAGTTCTCATAAGTGATTCACATGTGCGGAAAAGTCAGCTGTATTTATTTTTTGTGTGTGTTTGAATGTAAGCATGTTTTTTGATGGTGTATGTGTGAGTGAATGCAGGGATGTGTTTCTGTGTAGTGTGTTTTTGAAGGCTTGAAGGCGAGCATCAGAAGTGGGAGTACGGATAGAAGATAGACGTAAGTCTTCAGCAGATCGTAAGGGCCTAGACGGGACATACTTGTGTATTAGGGAGGATAGATAGGTGGGAGTAGCATTATGTAGAGATTTGAAAGCAAGAACCAGAATTTTAAATTGAGCTCTATATTTTATAGGAAGCCAATGTAGAGACTGACAGAAGGGTGAGGCATGGGAGGTGCGGGCGGACAGGAAGATAAGCCTCGCCGCCGCATTCATTATTGACTGTAACGGCGCAAATTGGGAGCACGTAAGACCACTGAGAAGCGGATTACAGTAGTCAAGGCGAGAAAGGCCAGTGGAATGGACCAACACCTTAGTCGCATCTGGTGTTAAGAAGGGGCGGATGCGCGCAATGTTTTTTGAGATGGAAATGACAGGATTTAGCGATAGATTGAACATGAGGCTTGAAGGAGAGGTCAGAGTCAAAGAGAACACCTAGGCAGCGAGCCTGCGTGGTGGAGCTGATGGTAGCACCGTTGACTTGGAGGGAGACAGACACAGGAGTAACAACACTTGAGGGAGGAAAGACCAGAATTTCAGTTTTGGTCAAGTTTAGTTTAAGGAAGTGGGCAGCCATCCAGTTAGAAACAGCAGAGAGGCAGCCAGAGACACTAGTCAAGAGGGAAGGGGAGGACAGGTAGATTTGCGTGTCATCTGCATAGAAATGATATTGGAAGCCAAAGGAGCTAATGAGTTTACCAAGGGAGGCAATATAGATGGAGAACAGTAGGGGACCAAGGACTGAACCTTGGGGGACACCAACAGAAAGGAGTTGGGGAGAAGAAGCAGAGCCAGAGAAAGAAACACTGAAAGAGCGCAGGGAGAGGTAGGAGGAGCACCAGGAGAGAGGAGTCTTGTAGACCGATATTGCGGAGGATGAGAAGAAGCTGTTGATGAGAATTAGGATAGAGTAGTGACCATGGGATTTTGCAGCGAGTAGATCATTGGATACTTTGGTCAGTGCCATTTCCACAGAGTACTTAGCGCGGAAACCAGACTGAAGCTGGTCTAGCAGAGAGTTGGACTTGAGGAAGTCTGTCAATCTCGCATACACAATTTTTTCAAGGAGCTTGGATGCAAAAGGCAGTAGCAAGATAGGACGATAGTTGAATGGGGAGTTAGGGTTAAGATTAGACTTCTTTAGAATTGGGGTTACAGTTGCATGTTTGAAGGGCAATGGAAATATACCAGAGGAGAGAAAGAGATTGAGAATTTTAGTGAGAGGTGGAGAAAGAGAAGAAGACAGAGTATGGATGAGATGCGAAGGAATTGGATCTAGGGAGCAGGTGGTGGGGCGGGAGGACTAGAGCAGTGCAGAAACCTCTTCCAATGTAGCTGGTGCGAATTAACATAGAACAGCAGAGGGAGTGAAGTTAGGGGAAGTATTGTAAGGGGAAGAAGGAAGATGAGACATCTCTTCTCTGATTGTAGAGATCTTGTCAGTGAAGTGAGTTGCAAAGTCTGAGGCGGTCAAGTTAGTAGGTGGAGGAGGAACAGCAGGGCGAAGAAGAGAGTTAAATGTGTGAAATAGTCGTTTGGGTTTGCGGGAGAGTGGGGTTATGAGGGTATTGAAGTAATTAACTTTTGCAGAGGAAAGAGCCAAGCTGTATGAGCTCAGCATAAATTTGTAGTGGAGAAAGTCAGATGCACAGTGAGACTTTCTCCAACAGCGTTCAGCAGTTATATATATATATATATATATATATATATATAATGTTGGTGTTTTGATAAAGAGGTAGATTTGACGTTTGAATGCAGAGGTGTATTTGTGTGTAATGTTGTGAGATGCTGAGATGTATGCACCTATACACACACATTTGCAGGGGTTGACTTTAGGTTCTTTACTGGACATCTTTGACATGTTTTGACTTGAAATAATACGTGTAGCAAGACTTAAAGAGAACTGGACATAGTATAGACAAAAAGGAGGAAAAGAAGAACGTATAAACGAGATTACAGGTAAGTATAATGAAGGTTTTTGTGGCAGACCTCTCTGCCTCTGGATTTTTATCCCGGTTGTTCGTGTGTTCCCTGATTACATTCCCTAAAAGACAAATTAACTACCAAATGGCAGGCCACCCAGCAGGGAAGTGTGCTGCTCGTTAA